CTGGAGTCCCTGAAGCAGTTGGTGTGAGCTTGAGTGGACTCCAGGGGACGGTGGAGGACAGGAAGGCCCGGAGGAATGTTGTCCATGGAGTCACGATGGGTCGGACACGACTTCGTGACTAGCAACGAGTTCATCACTGCATCTTGTGGCGGTGAGTTCCACAAGTTAATACTGCATGCTTTGAATAAGCCCCCCCTTCTGCTTATTCTGAACCCACTGCCAAAAATATCACTTGGCACCCTGGACCCTACTAGCACCAGCAACAGAGACAAATTTATCTTCACAGCATTCATAATTTTATATAACTGCTGCAGTGTCCTCCCTTCTTACTTTTATTTTTACCTTTTATAGACTAAAGTGTCTCGTGTGCTTTAGCCTTTACTCATGGGGAAGATGTTCCGACCCCTGAACGAGTCAAGCATTTAGAGTTCCCTTCCCTGAAATTAAATGTTACTGTATTAGACGTGGGTGGTGTTTGTCCACTTGAATATACAAGAGGAGAGCTGCCATCATTAGCACTTTTCCCAAGCCTTCCCACAAGACCTCCCCTTGCACAGCTGCTCTCGGGATTAAGTCAAAGCATTTCTTTCCCTCTCATCAGCTCCATGACTAACAGGTTAAGACACGACCCTGTACTTCTCCTAAACATTTATGTTTATAGGAAACACACGTGCCACATTCCGCTGCATTCGTGGGAGAAGTGAAAGATCACACTGCTCTCTCACATGCTTTTAAGCTGCGGAGACGAATGGGCATCTGTTCAGCTGTGAAGGAATACCGTTTTTAAAAGAAAGATTATTTGGCTGTTTACAGCTGTGCAGGTGTGCACTCGAAAAAAGTCCCCCCCCACCCAAAATTATACCTGACCTGCCACCATGGTCACTGAAGAAAAAGAGATGGAGGACAAGGATTTGTGGACACAGATCCCCTGCCCACAGATCCCTTACCTCTTCCTACGTTGCAAGGAGGAGGTATGGAAAAATGCTGCAAGACGGCTTTGAAGCTGCTCCCACTGGTGAGCGTTAGAGCTGCGCTAGATGGGAGCACGCATCTCTCAGTGGTGCACGAAAACTGTAATCATGTGGGGAAAGCATAGGAGAGGTGGCCTGGGGAAATCAAGGGAGAAATTGCGTCAGGACAATGGGTTGGGGAGTGCGTGGTATGCCACGCAAATGCGCCAGATGTTGTCGGGCGGAGAGAGAATGCGGATGCGGATTGGTCCTTGAGCTGCTTCCAGATGAGGCATTGATCATGAAACTGGCACTGCTCAGTTTTTCACATTTCAGCAGGGAGACAACACGGTTGTTCATGTGTATGGTAAATATCCCGTGTTTTCCCAGTGGGGCTGCCATCATTTTTCTTCCCACTAAAAACCTGAGGTTTTGCGGGGGGGGGGGTTGGAGGAATAAAAGAGTAATGCAGTCTCAACAGACACAGAATCTCTTCGCTTTACTCCTCTTTCTTTCTTAAGAGACAGGTGTTTATGTGAACAGGGACCTCTTGGGCAGTGAAGCTACTATATCTGTTTACTTACAAGTATTTTTAGCCCACTTTTATAGGAAACACTTTCAAGGTCAAACACTTGATTAAAAAAAATAAAAAAACAGATACAAATTCAGTAACTACATATTCACTAAACCTTTAATTTAAATGCTTACTGATTTAGAACTACCAGCCCAAGAACCTGCGGTAAGGCCAGCAAAAACAGACAGATCTTCAGCGCTTTCCAGAAGATCTGCAAAGAAAGGTCCTGATGAACCTACAAAGGACGCTGACCCCAGAGGCATGGGGCCAACACTGAGAAGGCACTCTCCCTCCCAGCGAACTGTCCTTCGTGACAAGCCACCAAAAGGGCCTTTGCTGATGGCTTCAGCGCGCAGGCCAGTACAGCGCTCAAATCAGCACTTTAAATTGGGTTTCAAAATGCTGTGGCACCATTATCAGTACCTCATGAGCCAACCACTAATATCCCACTAATAGCTGGACATCTGAATTCTGCACTGAAGTTCGGAACACTAGCAGGAGTTCCAAAACTGCATTTAAAGTCTGCTCCAGACCGAGCACATTACAGTTTTGCCAGTTCATTCCAAGTCCAGAAATACTCCCAAACTGCAGGGGAAGCGCAATCTTACCCAAGACCAGATGTAATCCTCTGTCCATTTTATTAACAAGAGCTGAGCCAAGCTGCCATGGATAGGACATTTTCGAGGGCTTCAGTCATATTTTAATTAGTTGCATCAAGTACTGGCACTTAGGAGTTTTTAACTGTTTTACTGTTGTAATAATTGTTTTTGTTTTTATTTTTTGTGTAAGCCATCTTGAGATTTTTATAATGATTGGATGGTATATAAACACGTTAAACAAACAAACAAATAAATAAAAAAGGTCACCGTGAGTCACAGATAACTTGACAGCACACAACATCAGCACCACCACCACTGAGCTTCTGTGTAGCCTGAAGTGCCTGATCCTGCCTAATCTTGGGAGCTAAGCAGTGCTGGGCCTGGTTGAAATCTGGATGGGGGACTTAACTGTTGTGAACTGCCCAGAGGTTACAGGTAGCACCGAAATATAATCATAGTAGTAATAATAGCAATAACAACCAGTTTAGTCTTTTTTTAGCTACGCACGGTACCTTTACCTTGTCTGGATTAAGTCTCGGCTTTTTTGCCCTCCTCCTAAAACCATCTCTAGGGACCCATCCAGGCATTCAAAGCCTTGTATCATTGGCTTACGGACAGCCAAAACCTCCAAGAGACTTCCCCCAGCAGCGTCAAAGGGAGCAGAGAGGGCAAGAGAGAACCTCGTGGCAGCCCACAGGCCAGTGTTCCCAGTGGGGAGTCGAAGCTCCCAGCGTCACTTTCTGAAACTGTTCCTCCGAGGAGGGCTGAAATCACGGCAACAGGATGCCTCCCAAGTCGAACCCAAGTAAGCGAGGCAGAAGGACACCTCGATGGCAACAAAAACCGCCAGTTCCTGGCCTAGGGAATCTGCTAGGGCAGCTGAAGCGGCTCTCCTCCCCAAACCAGGCCTGACAGTGTAACGGGTTGGATCCAGACAGTCAGGATCATCCAACTTTGCCTGGTGTTGAGAAGCCACCCTAAACCAAGCATAGCAGATTTACTCCTGAGTGGTATTTACTTCTCACATGTGTATCCCACCCATTTTTCCTTCAAGGGAGCCCAAGGTGGCTTGCCTGATCTCCTACTCCATTTTAGGCTTCTTCCACAGGGTCCCACCACTGCTTCCCTCAAGGGGACGTCACAAACTGCGGAGTCCAAACACCCGGACCAGCTCTGACTGGGAAAGGGAAAGGGTCCCGAAGCCAGGGGGTGGGCATCAGTCCTAGAGCGGATTGTGCAGATCCTCAGTCTGTGCACACTGAACAGGAGCCCTGATGAGAAGTCTAGATGTTACCCCAGTCCCATCCAGCTCTAATTCCAGTAAAACAATGGCATTTGATTGGCATCGATGCAAGCACCTTGTTCTGAAAAATGCCAGCAAGCCGAGAACAGCTGGCATTTGAGGGTACAAGTTCTTCTTTTCCTGGTGGGCCCCTGCCTCAGCCCTAGAGAAGACCCTCCGCATGAGAGGACCTCTGTTTGCCTGAGAAAAGGGTCTTGCTTCTCTCTGCCTCAGAGGGAGAACCTCGCACCTTCAGACCTTCATTTCCTCACCAGCAGAACTTGCCAGCCAAGGGAGGACCTTCTCTATGGTTGGATCCATACGGCTCTCCTTCTTGGTGCTTCTCCAGAGGTTGCCTCAACCTCAAGCGGAGGAACTTGTTCTGAAGAGTCAGAGGTTCAGTGCACTGAGCACACCTCGGCGGTACCTCAACGGTGATGGGACACTCTGCGCAAAGCATTACAGAGCTTCCACATCTCTGCTGGAGGTCTAGGTTTAATCAGGTTTTGGTTATTTGGCGTGTTTTTAGTGTGATCTGTGCTGCGAAGGTGGCTGAGTCTACTGTACTGATGGGAAGAAAATTATTCTCTCCAGTTTCTTTGCATGGCTGCCAAACTTGCACAAATGTTTAACCTTCCTCCTTCCCTATCTCTGCCTTTCATGAAGCTTTGTTGCTTGGCTCCTTTGCCACAGTACAGGTGCCGAAGGTTTTGTTTCTCTCCCAGTCCTGTTCCAACCACTACAGACCTACCCCTGGAAGGGGCAAGAATCTCTTGGTCCTTTGCCATGAAATTGGTCTACAGGCCTCATCTCTCAGACCCCCGTAAGAAGCATGGTTGGGAGGAGTCACTTTTGCAGCCATTTTGGGAGAAAAAAGAGTATACATCTCTGCTCCAACAGGAAGGAGGCTGCCGTAACCCATTTTCCTCAGCATTCATTGCTGAGCTTTTCCCGTGCCAGCAGTGTGAAGGAAAAATGCAGCGACTCACGCAAGGTCACACAGACACGTCCGAAACTGACCTCAGGACCCGAGTGCTGACCTTGACCTCCAAGGTTCAAGTCCTTTCCAACCCCAGGGCTGGGAATTTCGGTCCGTTCGCACATGCGCACGCATGCATCGCAGCCTCAAGAGACCCTCCTCAATAGGACTAGGCCTCACTGTGCCCCCCACAGCCACACACTCACACCCTCCTTAGACACAGGCTACCCAGAGATCCTTTCAACCACGCCGAAGAGACAACGGCGGTTCCTCTTGTGTCGGCCACCACTCCTGCTGCTGATGTCGGCCCTTCCTGCCGCTGCGAAGGCCGGAGTTTCACTCGCGGAGCACTGAGGGGATGTTCCGGCAAGCGTCCCCAAGGATCCCGCCAAGCCGGCACAACACTCTGCCCCTTAGTCATCAGGAGATGGGATATCAGTTCCAATCAGACACTCCATCCTCGTTAGACAGACCCCCCACTCACTCGCGCTCTCCAGTCTCGCTCCAGTAAAGTCCCCGAACTTTATCAAAGGCAAAATGTGCCACCCAGTTTGACCTTCGCACATCCCCGCACACCACACGCACGAGCTGCCTGAACACCCACACGTCCACTAACCTCCCGGCTGAGCCATGGGGCCTGCATGGCTCTCGCTCTTGAGCATTTCCTCTGCACCTGGACTCCTGTGGCAATGCCTGCTAGGTGCCACGAACAAGTCCCCCTCCATCTCCGTCACACGCCTCCTCTGCCCCCCCCACTGCAATACCATCAATGCTTCCCCTTCACCCTCCTCCAAATCCATCCCTGGAATCAACCCGAGCAGCCAATCCTCAGCCTCCAAACTGTCACCGCTCTACGAGAAAAACAACACCGCAACCGTCAAGGCAGAACTGGCTGGCCAGACGCAGGAACTGGGCGTCATTCGGCGAGATCCCCCCGCGAGGCTGCTGCAGCGAGACCCACCAAAGTGAGCGGCTGCCTCCCCCGATGCGGCTAACCTGCTAAGGCATGCTTAGAATACGCTCAGTTCTTCGCCGCTTCTCCCTCGCCTTCCTGCTCTCGTTCCCCCTCGCTTTCTACGGCCTAAACCGTGGACACACAAATATGCAAGCAGCCCACCCAGAAACTTCCCCTCGTTTTATTTATTCCTGATGGCTCCTTTACTGCCATCAAAGACACTGCCATAAAGAAGGGCGATGTCCCCAGGGGAACCCCGGCTGGTTTCAGATGCAATATTTATTGCTTCTTGCCCTAACACCGAAGCACAAGAGCATCTCAAAATGTTAATTACATCTGAGGGTGACGGGGTGTGTGCAGCCGTGTGTGGGTCATCACAGGCTCATCATTCCAAGCAATAAGACGGAACCAGAGTCAATTACTACAACGAAATAATACCCATGATTAGAACTGTGCTGGCACCAAAGCCATACACAACGACCGCTGCTGGTTCAAACATGCCAGAAGAAGCAAAGTCGCCCTTCACAAAAGCAGCTCGGTTGGGTGAGTCAGAGAAAGGGAGAGCGATGGCGAGAATGTGGCGCTTCCCCGGCACCTATTTTAACACCACTTTAGCGACAACTGGCACCCAAGCACCATCATACTGTAAATCCAGCAACTCAAGAACGCGTACGAGTCTTAGATTATTTGCCCCCAAACCGATACTCCACGGACATTCTTCCCACCCGGCACCTCCCTCAGCTCCCCATTAATTCCTGGGTCACACAGTGACCCTGTTCTCAACACTCTCAGCTCTCCGCATCCTTTTGGGGTTGCAATTTTCACATCCTTCCTTTTATTTCCTTAGACAGACAGCAGTGGGGGGAGAGGAGGAAGAGGCGGGGGGGGGGGGCTGACAGGTTTTCCATAGTCTGTGTGTGTGGAAAAAAAATCTCTCCACCCCCTTCACCTCCTCCCTGCAAGCAGACAGTTATTCTTACAGACTCCATTTTGACATAAACAGCTGCATGGGCTAGTAAAATCCTTGCAGGGAAATGTGTGTTCTTGGGAACCGGGGTGGGGGTGGGCTACCTTTTGTGTGTTCCTCCTTCCAAGTCATACAAAATGCTGCACAGGATCATCCTCCACCTGGGCTGGGTCTGCTCTTAGCAATACCACCGACAGCTTGGAGGAGTAACGATGCCGAACGTATTAGATTGGACTCCGTAAAATCTTCAGGGGGAGAGATAACGCTCAAGCTGAGAAGAGGGTCACCCATCTTTTGGACCTCGCACTACAGAGGACCGAGACAACTCCTGGGGGGACCCTGGGGAACAGGGCTAAAAGGGGAGCAAAGAGCAGGCTTTGGGGTGTGAAGAAACACCCCACATTAAAGGAGATGGAGGGGACAATTCCAGGGAAGAAAAATATCGGTGAGAGGGGCGGGGGAATCGAGAAAGGGACGGTTGGAGGCTTGCAGGCAGAGTGGGAGGCAGGACACAGGGATATGTTTGGGGGAGACCAGGTTTGGTGCAGAGGTGGAGAAACAGGCTCAGGTTGGCAAGGAGATGTAGGTCAGCCATGGAGTTCGTAAGAGCAGAGCAAGTGAACACGGGGAGCAGCGGGGGACAGGAATGCCCAGGGAGGGGGGACTGCCTCGTGGGACAGATCTGGCGATGGCAGCGGGAGAAGATAAGCAGATTTAGGGAGTAGGCCTCCGAGGCAGGGTCATACACCTGAGAAGCCAGTTTGCCGGGAGGAGTCCCCTGGATCCTTCCCCAGCCCCAGAAGAATCTTCGCTCTGCAGTTCAAACGTCTGGGATGGTGCGAAGGGAGTCTGCACCCCTGACTTCCTCACCCATTAGATTCCCCCCGCCATCCCTGCTCACCTCCTGTGTTGCTTCTCTTGGTGCTGATAGCTTCAGTGGGGGTCTCCAGGGGTCTTTTCCTAGAGTCGGGAGGATCTGAATCCATGTGGGGCTGCGGGGGGGCTTGGGGGGGGCTGCTGCTGCTGGGGGCCCCCTTGCTGCTGTTGCTGCTGCTGCTGCTGTGGAGTGGAAGGGAAGATGCCGTTCTGATGCACCGAACCTCCAGCCATCATCTTCATGCCGAGGGCGCGGAGGACTTCCCCTCCGCGGTACCCGTGAGACTCCAGCAGGGGGAGATGGGGGGGAGAGAAGAGATGCTGAGATTTTTGGGAGGGGGTGCTGGACGGAGGAAGAGGGAGGTGTGTCCAGCTGAGGAAGGGGCTTGGGGACAGAGCAGGCACTGCAGTCCTCCAGGTGGAATTGACAAAGGGAAATGAAAGTGACCGGGAGGGCTGGGAGTGGGTGGGTAGCGATAGGAACTGCTTTCCCGGCTCTTCTGTTTCCTGCCCCCTTGAGCAAAGAGCTAATAGGATACGGAGGAGGGGAGAGTCTGGGAGAGGGACCGAGGATGGAACAGTGAAGGGGAAGCTGGGATCCGCGGATGATGCTCTCCAAATTTAAAACCTAACCACAAAGGTGCTCAACCAGGGGAGATGGGAGGGAAGGAGGGGGAGGAGCCGAGCAGGTCTGGAGGACTGGGGGGGGGGGGGCCGGGCCCGGGGACCAAGCAGAGGGGGGAGGGCAGGGGTGGGGGTGGGGGTGGAAGGGTGGAAACACTGAGGCGTCTTGTTCGGAAAGAGAAAGAGAGCGCAGCCTCCCTGCTCACAGCATCCCTCTGGCAGCCGGTCCTGGACGGCAGTGGCTGTGCAGCAAGCAACCCAGCCCCTGACGTGGGAGGAGAGACCCACCTCCCTTCTCCACCCCCACCCCCCGCAGATTGGCTGCGCGGAGCTGGGCCAAGCTGACGAGGGAGGGGGGCGGCGGGGGGAAAGAGAGAAGAGCTATTCTTTCCCTCTGGGGCTTGGCAGAGCTGGGAGGGGGAAGCAGGTGGGGGGGGGGGAAAAAAGGGGGGGGGGGGGGGCCCCGGGGGGGGGGGGGGGGCGAGCGGATGGGAAATGAGGGGGAACGGGGACGCAGTCCTCTAGGGTCGGCCATGGCCCACCCCATCCTCGCGCTCCCTTCCTGCCTCTCCTCCTGCCTTCCGTACTGCGTCTCGCTCTCCGGAACCAGCCCAGAATGTTCTGGCGCCTGCTTCAAAGGGCGCTCCATCCTATCGCTCAAGGCTGCCTTGCCCCCGGGCGGCCATGCCCTGCCCCCTCCAGCCTAGCCCAGGGTCACTCCCCCCACCCCCAAGGAGGTCATCAGTCTAGGGCAGGGATAACCCGCCTCTACTGTCCCCCTCTCAGACAAGAAGCTCGCTTAGGCAACCTCAGAGCAGCCATGATCTCCCAGGGTAGCCTACCTCATAGGGCTGTCGTGAGGATGAAATTAGGAACAGAGGAGAGGAGCGAGTCATGGGCACTGATTCAGGCTCCCTTGACGAACAAGCAAGCAGGCAAGCAAGCGAACGACTGAATGGATCCTCCCGCCAGTCGCAGACCTCCGAGGTCCCAAGCAGGCCTTTTCCTGGCCCTCCTGTCCACTCTCTTTCCCGCCGTTGATGGCGGGCACTGCACCCCAGAGGTTGCGCATGCAGAACAAGCGACCTTCCCCCCACCCTTCTGCGCTACAGCACCTCCTCCCCGTCTCCACGGGGGACAGTGCACCTGAACGCTTTCTCGCGCACGGGCGCAGTGCGCAGGTGCCACCCTGCCTTCCAACGGGGCTGCCTCGCCTGCGCTTCCTCCACTCTAAGGCTCTCCTTCGGGCCTGCCTTGACTCTTCTGCACCCAGTCCATTATCCCAGACCTCTGTACCTTCACCCCCCGCAAGCCAATGCAGAGGCCTCGAACCGAGCGGATGGGTGGGTGGAGGCCTTTGGGGCCCAAGCGAAACCCCAGCTCGCGCTCCAAAGCCTGCATGCAAACGTTCCCAGGTTCACTCTGCAGCACCTCCTAAAACATCTCAGGTAAAAGGGAACCCTGAGACCTTGGAGAGCTCCGCTGAAAGCGGCGAGCGGGCTGCACTGAACCATTTTTAGCAACTTTCTACTAACCTACCCATCTACGTGTTTCCTAAACCTGCTTCCTTACTCAAACAACACTGGGGGCAGCAGGAGAGAAATGAAGCACAGAATGTACTGAAACAGGCTCGGCTTAAGCATTTCCACGTTTTCTCTTCCACTTTGAGGATTCCCACCCAGGGGCTCAGGTCTGTTAACCAGAATGTCCCTTACAGCAAAGTAAAATTACACAATAGCACCACCTGCTGACACCTGCCGCATGACCCAAGGTACTTCGTGCGTCCCTGCAGGGTGCCTTAAAAGCATGGGAAGCCAGCACAGAAGATGGTGCAAAGGTCTGGCACAGCTGGACATCTGTAGGAAATCGCAGGTGCATAATTATGTCAGAGCACTGGAATGGGTGCAAGACCTGCAACCGGGGGTGTGTGTGTGTGTGTGTGTGTGTGTGTGTGTGTGTGCACGCGCCATGAATCTACACAAGCGTAGTGTGATGAATTTGCCTTTTCTTTCACATCTCAGCCTTTTCTTTCAAAACAAGCCACCCAAATGGCCAAGTTTCTAGCCCTTATGGTTGCAAAGATACACTTGAAAGTTTGTGGGTGATGGCTGGAGCATTTAGGGCTCCAGGACACTGTATAACCCTTTATCCTTCCCCATACCTAGCTAGAAATAGAATGAAGAGAAAGTTAATCAAAAGAGCAGGACTGAACAACTTCAAAATAAAAAACATGCATTTTCCTTGTCTCCGTAATTTATGAATGCTACA